GTTCCGCAGGATGTCGTGCGCCAGGTCGTCGTCAACGTCGTCGTCGCCAACGGCGTCTTCTTCGCTGTCGTCATCATTGTCGTCGGAGTTCGGGTCGGTGTCGCGGTGTCGGGTGGTGACAGCTTCGGCGCCATCGCCAGCGCTGCTGTTGTTGTCGCTGTCGTCACGTCTTCCACCCACCAAAGCTTGGAAGTACCCGCCACGGTTACCGGTCTGCGAGGGTGCTACGCCCGCAGCCGCACCAGCGGTGTCCCCAGCTTGGGATGGCGTCGACTGTCCCTCTTGGGGCTTAGCCGAGCCTTGGTGGTTAGGCGCAGCAGCGTCGGGGCGCGGCTTCGTCTGCTGTTTGGTCATCAGCGGCTTTTGCTTTTTCAGCTGTTGCTGCTGTTGTTGCGACCCTCCGTCCTTTTTCTTTCCTCCTCCTTTGGAGCCCATGTTTCACACGTGGGTTGCAAAGATAGAACGCTTCGTCGAACGCCAATATGGAAGCCCTCTACTCTGGCTGAGCAGAGAGTCCGGGAGTGTGGTGGCTATGTCCTGCCACCGGAGGTTGGCTATTTCCTTTGGTGCAATATGGCGAGGAATGCCAAGCGTGACCGAGCGAACTCAGTCAAGCCAGGGTGGCGAGGAGAGTGGGCGAGCCTTCGTGGACCCTTTTCCCATTCTCCTAAAGATTCATCAACTCTTCGCAGCCGTTGGGAATCGTAAGAGTCATAGACCCTCGAAGAACGGTAATCTATTATCACATATCCTCTCAGATCCTACTCTTTATGTACGTGTATCTGTGCTCCCTGAATCTCCATATCCTGACCTCCACACGTACCCCCGAAGAAAATACTTCTACAATGGGTGTGGGTGGTTCTGATGATCACTCCACCGAGCATATTTAATTGACACAGAAGACGCACAGACGACAACAATCACTGTGGGGGTAATGACAGGGTCAGCGATAATTTTAACGTACATGACAAGACGATCATAAAGACATGGCCAACCGCCGTACCAATGAGATGAGTGCTACATGTAGGAGACAAGCCAGCACCCATCTATGATCCCGCGCCCGATGACCGCACGTCTCAAACCCAAGCCGAAAACCTCAGGCTGCATATTGCTCAAGATACCGATCATGATATCATGCTTGCCGGCGTCGGCGTCGGCACTTCTCCTGCGCCAAACAAAATGTACAGATTGCAGATGGCCAAGTTCCTCCTCAACTGCAGCAGCAACGATGCCACAACGTGCGGCAAAAACAACCGCTGAAACGGAAAAAAAAATGCGAAAATGGCTACCCCTTCAACAAAGCCCGCCTCTCACAAAATTAGTTTGACTGAACCAAGGGTAAAAAATGCCGTGTCCACCTCGAACCAACACGGACGCACGCATGCCCTTCGCGGCGGAATATTCCCAAACGCAGAGCAACTACTCTCTGACTGTCAATTACCCAACAATGACGCGGCAGGCAGGCCTTTCATGAAGCAGGCCATCATATCCCACCACCACCATCACCTAACCACGCCTGTCACACCCAAGCCTTGTTTCGACCGTTGCCCGTTACATTATGGCCGTAGCTGCACTAGGACATGCCAATCTTCACGGCGGACTCGATAGCGCATCCCAGCATGGTGATCAGCCCGATGTACCCGAACGCCCCCTTGTGCCTCTTCTCCGGGTTTCCAGTCTACAGTACAGTACCGTACAGCAGCAAACGAACAAGGGAAGGGGGGGGGCGGTGTCAAAGGAATACATGCCGCTGGAAGGCGCACAGGCTCTCCCGCGACAAGCACAGAACTGGGTTGCGGGAGAGGGGGGTACAACCAAGACAACCTTTCTTCTGTATACCGTTCCTTGAAAGGCGGCCACTAAAAGTGTGTAACACATATGGCATTGGTGCCACGGTATCTTCTCGGTTATTTTTTTTCGGGCTTGACTTCACTTGGGGGAAGCGGGGTGTCTTGCGAGAGAACGGACGGCCAACAACATCAGCGTCACCGCTCACGGAGAAACCCCAAAAATAACAAAAGAAAACGAAAAGAAAAACCATAAACAAATGAAACGGGACACGTGGGGTTTTCTCGGTGACAGCTCTCCTCGTCCACGCAAGTCACCAAAAAAAAAACACACACAAGGCAGAGCCGGGTCAAAGCGTGCCCGCTGCAACGCCTCGTGTCCAAATACGTGCGATAACACGCGCCTGCGCGTGTAACGAAAAAAAAACGCTCACCCTGTAGCCTATGACGTAGGCGACGAAACCGGCCAGGCGTATCGCTCCAGCGACTCCCGCGACGATGGGTCGGTTGATAGCCGCCAGCCCGAGGAGCAGCAGGAACGGCGGGTAGTTCTCGAGAACGTTCTGCAGAGCAAATCGTTAGGCAATAGCAGCGAACGGCGGTGCGGTGGTGACGGACGGCGACTAGAGGAGTGCACGATGGGTGAGCGAGAGACGTGGAGTGGACTTTGCGACGGAACAAGGGGAGGAAATTGGGAACGAAAAGTCACACGTGAACGGACGTGTCGTACGCGCGGCATGACGTTCACGCGAACATTATTCTCCGCTTCCCTCCGAAATCGAAGGAAAAGGGATTCCTCAGGAACGTGGAGAATGCTCTCATCACGATCTCCAACTTTGCCACCCCTCTGCACCCACGGGGTGGTCACATTAATACCTTCGCCGTGGTCTTCAAGTTTTTTCATGATCCAACGCACAACAGCTTCTTTCCATTTCTTTCCCGCTCTGCGCCCAGCAAACTCCATTTCCAGCCCTTGTCTCGACCCCTGACAAGGGGTAGCATTTCTCACGCTTCATGTAACCCACCGGGATTGATTCCGAATCTTCTCGCGAAGACTCTCCACGCCTGACTTGCTCGCTAGCTCTCCCTCTCTAGCAATCACACGCACACACACGCTCAGCACGAGCTTTGCTTTGCAATCGCTTAGTTTGGGCGGTGGCGCAAAGCGTGAAAAGCCTTGCATTCTACAACAGTCCTCACAGCTGGTCACCTGGTGAGCCCTCTGGTAGCAGTTGAAGATCACGGCGTTGGGGTCGGATTGCTCGGCGTACATCTGGGGGTACTTGATCTCATACCTTTCGAGTAAACCGCGGGCAACCGCGAGGTACGAGGCAAGGGTGGCGAGAGGGGCCTGGCGTTGAGTGGCGATAAAGGACACACGCTTCATGGCGTGTGCACAGACACGTATCTTGCTTGTGTTGCCAGGTTCATTCGTTCGTCGATGAGCTCACGTGCTCGACAACTCTTCAGTATCCACCGGACACGTCAACGATCGACGCCGTTCGTCTCCTATTCTCCTTCCTGTGTAGCCTTCTATCTTGTCCTGCCCCATCACTAGCTGCCCGAAAGCCGAGGCCTTCATGATGTTCATGGCTTACGATGGGCGGACGGGCTAAAAAAGCGGCGGAAGAACCAACCCCCCGCGTTGATTCCCGCCAAAATTAGCCCACCTGCCACCCAATACAACTGCTTGTCAGTAAGACGATCGCTTGTGCATTACTGTTGGTCAAAGTCCTCCTGAGCATCGTCGGGTCGCCGATGGCACCATATGCAACGTTGTCAAATGCAGAACCCACGACCCTCTTCTCTCTATATGTGTTGGCAACTAAACAAGCTGCTTGTACAATAGATCATCGCTGCGTGTTCCTGACGTTGTTTGGCAGAGAGATGCACTCACTTCTTCCTGGCCATGCCCACGCCAAACCCAGCCCACGTGGTCACGAAAACGCTGCAGATGGCTACTGCCATGGGCAAGCCGTGGGCGGGTATGAGCTCGATGGTCACCATGGTCTCTGTTGGAAAGGAATGGGGAGAGACGATAAAGAGACTCTAAGGAGAGTGTTCGCTGTGGGCTTCTTCTGAGAGTCAACTGCTGTGCATACGCGGATTGTATTTCTTCGATAGCACGTACCCCTGTGACACTACACTGCAACATATACACTCATCATGCGCCACGACCGCGGCTACGCTGGGCGCGAGACGCGGCGCACAGTACCTTTGTGCCTCGGTCTCCCGCTACGCGAAAGGAAAGCACTGGAATCGTAGCCGTGAGGTTGTTCCAAAACCCACCACACAGCAGCAATTTCTATATTGAAGCCAAGTCAGCCTTCGTCCCTCGGGACTGTACAGCCTCTCCCAATGAGCGGACGCGATTTATTCGGGACCCATAACCTGTAACTACTAACTACACTGCTGACCCTTACTACTGCTGTAGGACGGTTAAATCCGCACCGGTCCAACTGAAGCGGACGCCTTCCGTGGTTACAGGCCAACCTCTACGCTGTACACACACACACCCGCGATGTTGAGTCGAGCATGCGAGATCAAAGTGCTGACTACAATAACTGCAGCAGATCTGTTCTTCTTCTAAATGGTTGATATCAGCCTCTAAAAAATTACTTCGTATAAGCTTACGAAAAACAATACTACAACGAATACAACAGACCGGGAGACGAGTGAACCGGTCAAAGAACGTACTTTGGTATGAATAGTAGAAACGCAAAAGGCCCCATCCAGAAAAGAAAAGAAAGAGGGTCCATCGCTACATACATACTGCTGAGAGCAATACAACGTACTGCTGCATAGCACACACACTTCCTAATAACGGCAAGATCGAACATCACCAACAAGACAGAAGACAACAACTAGTCACCAGATTTTCTATCATATTTAGGGCTCGTTTTAGGCAGGGGCGTAGTCGCCGCCGGGGGTACACCGGCCGAACTATTTCCCACACGTACCCCCCGACAACAAAAAATGAGTGCGGGTGGTTCGAAAGATCCTCCTCCATCAACCGAAACAACACAATGAACACGGAGAAAACGAAGAAACGCAGACAGACCATAACTACCTTCACTGCGGGGGCAATGAGAGGGGGGGGGTGAGCGATGTTTGTAACGTACGCAAAGGGAGACGTTCGTAGGGACACAACCAACCGTGCCAATGAGGTCAGTGCTACATGTAGGAGACAAGCCAGCATCCATCTATGATCCCGTGCCCGATGAGCACACGCCTCAAACACCTCACACTCTGTAAAGTGGTCTAAACACCGACGAATACCGTGCTTGTTCCCGTCGGCGTTGGCAACAAACTCCCCTGTGCCAAACAAAATATTTACGCATGGCCAAGTGCCTCCTCCACTGCATGCAACAGCAATGATCTGCTGCACAAAAAGAATCGCTGAATGAAACAACACCAACCATTGCTAAGATGGCGACGCTTCAAAGCGAAGTTTCTCGTTGTTTTTATTGTATTGTCTTCTTCTGGTGCAAGGGTATAAGATAACATCATCCTCCGAGAACCAACACGCACGCACGCAGTGCTCTTACGCGGCGGAACACCCGCACGCAGAGCAAATACTCTCTCTGATTGTACCCAACAAATGACGCCGCAGTCCAACATCCACCACCACGCCACCACCTAACCACAGCGAGTAACACCAATACTTGTTTCGGGCCTTGAAGAAGAAACATTGCCCAGTTAGCATGGACAATGCTTGCACTAGGATATGCAAAGCTTCGTGGTGAACTCGAGCGCGCATCCCAGCATCATGAATAGCCCGATGTACCCAAACGCCCCCTTGCGCCTGTTATCCGGGCCTCCACTCTACAGCATTACGAGTAAGGAGGGGGATTGGGGGGACGCCGGTGTCAAAGGACAACAAGCAGCTGAAAGGAGTTCAGGTTCTCTCTCGACAAGCACAGAACTGGATTGTGGGAGAGGGGGGGATATCAGGGCAGGGTTTTCTTCGCGAAAAAACTACTAGACAGGCGGCGCTAGAAGGTATGTGATACATATATAATGCTTTGGTGTCTTGCAATATCTATCGTCGTTACTTTTCCGGCTTGAGTTCTCTTGGGAGAAGCGCGCTCTCTTGCGAGCACGGACGGGCAACAACAAGAACGCCATCACTGCTCACGGAGACACACGAAAAAGAAAAAAGGCAACCACGCGGCTCACAAATGAAACGCAGAGCACGTAGCGTATTCTGCTAACTTACCGGTGACAGCTCCTCGTCCACAGCAGTTCTGCGAAAAACAAATCCCACAAGACAGAGCCATGTCAAAACGCGAGCCCCCTTCCCCGCGCGCGCAACGACAGCGCCTCGCATGCAAAAGCGACTACACGCGCGCTACGCGCCCAACAACAAAACAGCAATCGCACCCGGTAAGTGATGACGTAGACGATGAAACCGGCCACACGTATCGCTCCAGCGACTGCGGCGAACTTGGGACGGTTGATGGCCGCCAGCCCGAGGAGGAGCAAGAACTGCGGGTAGTTCTCGAGAACGTTCTTCGGAGTAAATCGATCGGCAAGAGCAGCGGCGGTGCGGTGGTCACGAAGGGCAAGTGCACGATGGCTGTGAGGGAGACGTGGAGTGGTTTTGGGAGAGAACAAGGGGAGAAGATCTGGGAACGAAAGTGTTACACACGAACGGACGTGTCACGTGTGCTGCATGTCGTATTGCACACCACGAGTCCAAGATTCGTGGCTTGCCTACGAAAAAACCTAAGCATTTCCTCGGGAGTTGGAAACACGTTCTTATGCCGATCTCCTAGTAATTGTAGCAGCAACATAAAGCTCGAGAAATTCGATCAACCAACCAACTGCGAAGTTGGTCGGGGAGGGCTAGGGTGTCGAAAGACCCTGAAACCGCGGAGCCCCCCATGGCTCCGCACCACGCGTGTTTATCGCTACGGTCGATCGTGACGAAAGGAATCGAAACCAAACGCTAAGAGCAACACCACTTGTGACCAACCAAGACTGAGAGTCTGTGTGAATCTCGTGAGAACGAAGAAATATCTGCTGTTGGAGCAGCTCGTTAAGTTCGGATCCTGCATATCTGGCCCATTTAGTCCCCCACAAAGGAGCTCACCCCACAAACTGATTGAACCCTGACCTTTGGTATTAAGGCTAAAGAACCGTAGCCGATGTGACATTTATAAGGAAAAATAAGTGACATTTGCCATCCCGCTGCGCCCACGGGGTGATCACACTCATCACTTGCTATGGTCTTCAAGTTAATCGAATGAACGCATTGCAGCTTCGTTATTTCTTTGCCGCTCTCCGTCCGGCAGACTGTTTTTTCGCGGTCTCTCAGTCACTCTCTGCCTTCTTTCCTGTCATTTTCCTAACGGGGACTCCGATTCTCTCGAAAACTCGCCGCGCCGCACGTTCTCTTTCCTTTTCTCTTTCTCTTTCTCTTTCTCTTTCTCTCTCTCTCTCTCTCTCTGTTTCTGTGTGTGTCTCTCTCCCCCGCTCTAGTTGCATACCATCTACGACTCTTTTCACACACACACACACACTCAGCAGTTCAACAGTGAGTTTTGCATTACTGGAATCGCTCGGTTTGGGCGGTGGCGAAAAGCGCCAAAGCCTTGTACTAGTCTTGACAGCAGCTCACCTGGTGAGCCCTCTGGTAGCAGTTGAAAACGGCGGCGTTGGGGTTAGATTGCTCGGCGTACATCTGAGGGTACTTGATCCCGTACCTTTCGAGCAAACCGCGCGCAAGCGAGAGGTACGAGGCAAGGGTGGCAAGAGGCGCCTAGCGTTGAGTGATGATAAAGGACACTAGTATTAGATCGTGTGCACCGACGTGCAAATGGTGTTGCCCAGCTTCCACCTCGACAAATCCTGCGTGCATTTACAACATGCGTCTATTCATAAATCACCTTTGATTATGATCACTGAAAGGCTACTGTAGTACAACGTAAGTACGCATTGTTGTAGTACGCGTTCTTCTAAACCCACAGCAGCCGAAGATATTTTTCCATGAGCTGGATGGAGTGCTCGACAACTCTTGAGTACATATCCACCGGACACGACGCCGTTCGTCTCCTATTCTCCTGCCTGTGTAAATATACCCTTCTCCCCTGCCCCTCTCCCATCGCTCGATGCATGAAAGCTGCAAACGCCCATCGGCGGTGCATGCTGCACGTACATGTGATGATGTGGCGAAATAAACTCCCCGCCTACACCCCGATACATTTGCCGCCAAACTTTAGCCCCCGCCCAACACAATGTAGAAATGCTGTCAGTAAGGCGGTCGCTGGCGGACTGCTCTGTGGCCCTTTTGAACATCGTCGAGTCACCGATGGCGCACTATGCAACGTTGCCAAATGCAGAAACCACGCCTCTCTTATCTCTTACTGTTGGCAACTAAACAGAGAAGATACAACGGCGGTGTTACTGTACGTTCTCAAAGGACTCACTTTATCCTGGCCTTGGCCACGCCAAATCCAGCCCACGTGTTCACAAAAACGCTGCAGATGGCTACTGCCATGGGCAAGCCATGGGCGGGTGTGAGCTCGATGGTCACCATGATCTCTGCCGTTGGAAAAGGAAGAGGGGAGAGAGAAGATTGGAAGATGGCAGTGCATGAATTTGCATGAATTGGAGCGGGGTTCTCTAGACGAGAACACCTTCACACCACCCCCCCCCCCGGCGGCGGTTGGAAATAGGAAATTGCGCGAACGTCTTTTGAGCAGTGAGCTTCGACTCATCATTGCTCTCTCGGCAGGGCTGTGTGTGTCGACGAGCTCTCATGGGCCTCGCTTGCAGCAAGAGCGCTTTCATCGACGCTACTATCCCCGTCCGCGCCGGCGGCAATCTCAAGAAGAACAAGGGCGAATACCGGAGTGTGAGGTAAAAGCAACGGCAGGCAGCCGTGTATGAAAATATGTTCCTGTTGGATTCCACACTTGCAGCAGTGCACAGGGGCACACGTTCCTCGCTCGCCCAGTACGTTGATACCTGTCGCACGTACCAAGCACACTTTGCTGTTGTCTCAGCCGCCTAATGTGGGTGGTGTCGCCTCTAGACGCAGACTTGGGGCTAGCTTGGCGCTACGACAGATAATGGAGAGTTTACAGACCAGTTTTTGTTGCAGCAGCACAACAAGTGTTTTATGTTATCTCCCGCCAAAAGCATGACCGACCCGGGCCAGCAAAGACCTACCCAGATAGCTCTTGAGTGTCCTGGTGGAAAGTCTTGTCACTGCCGGCTGCTCTGTAGACCGTCGTAAGGGTCACACAGTGGACTGTGGGTGCAGAGCCAACAACTAGAGGTGAGAGAGACCGCAGGGCCGCAGACCAGTGGTACGCTCAACGGGCAACGGGCGGTTACTCTCCCTCGCTCTCCCGCTCTAATCCGCTCCCTCTTTGGACCCCCCCCCTCCCAGCTGATGAATCAATACCGGAGAGAACCGTACCAGCAGTGACAGAAAAGGTAAATACAGCTGGTATGTTTTAGTGTACCCAACAGCATGCTGCTGCTACTTTCGAGCAGGACGTTGAGAGCGAGAGTACTCGACCGTAAAAGGATGGATGATGCAGTATTATAGTTTATCACCCCCCGTCCCCCCCCATATCCTACTTGAGTAGGATAGGGTAAGATACGTGCGAACGTCGTGAAGGTGACTCCGGACTGGTCTTGGCAACGGTTCTGAACCTACTTTGTATATGTGCATCAGGACCCTCTGTATTTTTAGGAGATCGGGCAGCGAAACTCTTACTTCTCCCAGAAAACGGCTGGGTGGTGTATACTCAGTGTTACTACGGTTGGTTGCAGCCCGTAGCCTGCAAGAAAAAAAAAATTGCGGGGCAGACGAAAATCCGTTTAGGACCAACAGACCGCAGGGAGTTGCTGGGTGGTGTTCCATTGGGAGGCCTGTTGCGCATCATCGTGCTCGGGAGATAGATTATGTGCCGCAGATAGTGCACATCCGAGCCTTGTTGGTGCTTACGTGGAATCGCTAGGTCAAATGGGGTCTGGAGGAGTTTGGAACACTCAAGGTGTACGATTGACAATACATAAAAATGTAGGGCCCTGCTTTATTTAGCTTGGATGCCTGGATGGAGGTTCGAGACAGCATTGTTACAAAAGCGGCGATAGAAACACGGTCTGCGCGGTTTTCGGAAAGATCCATCAATCAGTGGTTTGTTTCGTTCGATCTCGACTCTTTGAAGCACCCCTGCACCTCGTGAACCTACATATTATAGTGCTGCTGCCGAAGCGCTTGTTCGGTGAGTGCGGTATGTACTTGGTGGCATGAGCTCTTTGCGCGTAAGGAGACGAAGACATCAATCACAGAGGAAATCGTTCCACCCTTACCCCCCGGATCCGAAATCTTCGGTCGAGAAGGCAACACCGTCCAAGTGGGTTGGCCAGAGAAGATGGAAACGGCACTATTTACAGTACACGTGATTTTCGAAGCGAGTGTTCAACAGCACCGTCGCAATGGTTGTACCTAACTCTCCTTTGGTGACCGCCCGTTCAAATCGCCCATTTTTCCTGACTCTTAGTGCTTAACATGAGATATTAAGCTCACGATGAGAAACCTTGGATAAAATTTATGTCACACCAGAACAACGCCAACATTAACTTCTACAACCGCCACCACATCAATTCCAACGTACGTCTTCCTCCCCTCTTCACCGACCAAACAGCACGCCACCCCGCCCACCCCGGGTTCCACCACGGAGCAAGAAGCCACGATTTTCCTTTCCGTCGGGCTGCAGCAGCAGCAGCAGCGGGCACACCACAAGGCTGAACAGCGACGGCCTACAAAGTCACAGCGTCAGCGGGGGCGTCGAGAATGATGCCGTTTCGGGCACCCTGGACGTGGCGTCCGTACGGGATCAGGGCATCGTGGTGCTAGTGAGAATCAGGCCGGTGTCGCGGTCCGAGCAAGGGCAGCGATGCTGTCTTCAGGTTCAGGGGCCGACACAGGTACGTGTCACGCTTTCTCGATGATAAACCCTGAGAGGATTGTAAAAAGACTCCGGAGAGAGACAACAGAGTTTCGAAGACCTACCTACAGTACACTCTCGTTCTTGCGATCTTATCCCTTTGTATGCTCGGGTTGATTTCGTGTTAAGGAGGTCTATTTTTGGAGCGATTTGTATCCACCCGAGGGATTGAGGTGCCCGTTGGCTGGGAGGTCACTCCGGAGGGGGGTCGCGCACGTCCCTCGTCAATTTACACCGCATCATACCCCTTTCTACATCGGTCGCATTCTCGTGAGCAACACGGCAAAACTACAGCAACAGAGCGTGGAATCCGTGCTACCCACAACACACGTGGGTAAGCGCGCGAGAGAGAATTGTCTTGACTCTCGAAAACACGGGAATACACGTCTTGATGTGGTTCCACAGGTTCCCGTGTATCACACACTCCCCCTCCCCCCCTCTCTCCTTTGGGCACTTTTAACTCCACCATCCCCCTCTCTCTTACCCACCCCTTGCCTTTTGGCCTTTCCTAAATTGATGCACGATGGATATCCAACAAGCAGCTGCACGTCCCGGCCAGCAAGACCACCGCGTCGGAAAAGACTTGTACCTTCGACGCCGTCCTGCCGCACACGACCACCCAAGAAGAGGTAAGGGAAGGGGTGAGGATGTACTCATACAAACGCGTGCCGTATGTCGGTGTAGACCATACACCTCGCATTCCTACAACAACGGGAAGGGGTCGAGGGTACAAACACGCGCCTGCAGGCCGAAACTTGCTCAAAACTCCCGAGTTCTAGCTGGCACGGTTAGGTATACCCGGCAAATGATATGCCTTCAATGCCTGTTCATGCCGGAGTATCCAGGCAAGGCAGTGGTCTCCTTGTCAAGTCTTATATTGCTCCTTCCTCAAGGAAACATCGTTGACGTGCCAATGTCTCTAGGACAACCATTTTAAATCTAGAAGCTTGATGTCGGGGTGGGGGTTGGGCGACGTGACGTGCGCCTACTTTCTGCCTCCAGCAGAAGCATGAAACAATGCGCGATCTTGTGATTTGCGGTTTACATCTCTTCTGGGTGCGCCCGTCTACCGTGGGTTACGCAAGATACCACACCCCCTGGATTGATTTTGAAGGCTCGATTTCTTCGCAGCAGAAAGAGTGGCGGGGCCGAAAAATAGCGGCGTCGTCGGAACCGTCTCGTCGAGAGATTTCCCAAAACGTATCGGTACACAGCCTCTTCGGTGAAAATCGATCCAGGGCGTGAGACATGTTTCGTGTGTCACCTACGGTACTCCTTTCCGGGAGATGCTCGGGGTCAAACCGGAGAAATTCTCCGCCTCCCGTCTTCTCCAGCTGTTCAGTCTTGGCGCGGGGTCTCCTTGACCGGTCTCGGGGTTTGCTGTTATCTTGTCTTCCTTGTTCTCCGTGTGCCTCGCAGGTGTATCGGGTGGCCGGGCCGAAGCTGATCCAGAACCTTCTCCAGGGTTTCAATGCTACCATGATAGCGTACGGCCAGACGGGGTCTGGGAAGACGTTCACGATGGAGGGGTCTGACCAGGTGCGGAGAACTGATGCTGTAGGGGGTGACGGTGGTTCGAAACGGCTAACTACGGTGAAACGGAACAAGCACGGGTGTGGGAAGTCGAAGGCAAACGACGCTCGGCTTTTGGAGTAAGCCACAACGTGTGAACGTCTTAATTGTTCATTTTTATGTGGCCAAAGAAACGCGTTGGTGGGCGTTGGTTTTGAGGGAGTGGTGTAGAAAAATGACAAAGCATGTTGTTTGCCTTGTGTCTCGCGTAACCGGTTGTAACCGTAACACGATGGCGTGGTGCTTTTTCTTATAGAGAGAGAGAACGAACGCGTACGGGGCAGGACGAGGCTCCTGAGTTTTCGGGTTATTTTGGCGTTTCACTCTTTTTTTTTTTTTTCTCGGTGTTATCCGTGGTTTGCACCGTGATCCCGTTTCTCGTCTCGTCCGGTGTTGTCTCCTCTGCCGCTCTTGCTCAAAAACGCCGCTGCTCCTTTGTCGTGCACTAAGAACAAGCCAAAGCAGTGTTTGAGACCTTTGCTGCTGCTTGTTCAACGGTACTGTTTGTTCTCCCCAGGAGCCCGGCGTGATCCCTCGACTGTGCAAAGGGCTGTTCGAGGCGATAAGTGCACTGGGTACCGAGAAGGACGTGACGGTGGTGGCATCGTACGTCGAGGTATGGACGGTGGGGGGGACTACCGTAGGGGCGAAACCGGGAGATACGGGTCGCCCCGTTTCCTGTCTCTTGACACTCGTGGTTATTACCACGGGTGTTTGCGGGAATATAGACCGCCCTTTTTTTTGCGAAGTCATGAGAGGGACGAAACGTCTTTGCCTGAAGAGGTGTTCATCACCAAATAAAATATAAAAAACGCATGGGCGCACATGTGACATAGGTGTTGATGTGAGAAGACAGGCAGCGTGTTGGACCCACCAATGCAAGATTTACTACCGATGCCACCATCGAAACACCCCGTCCAGCTGCGAACCCCCCCCCCCCCCCCCCCGTCGTACGGCATGCTACGCATGCATAGCTTGCAACAACCCCTCCCTCCTCAGCGCCCCACTCATCCTACTCCCCTTTCCCTCGGGCAACGTTTCATCAACTATCGGGGTCTGTACGCCAAACACAAACACGGTTGCGGCGGCGGCGGCGATGTGTTCCACCGCGGCGTTACTTTCGACGACGACGACGACGTTACGAAGATCTACAACGAGAACGTCGTAGACCTCCTCACCGACCCATCCGCAAGAATTAATTCGGCTGACAGTCCCGTGAAGAAGAAGACGTCTCCCAGAGCCAGGCAGGGGTCTAACTCGGTGTCCCCTACGGTGTCGCCGCCGGCGGGGGGCGGCGGCGGCGGCGGCGGCGGAGTGTTTTCGGAAGGGAAGGGCAAGCCCACGATTCGCGAGAACAAGGTGAACGCTTTAGTTTCGTCTGTACATGGACGTAGCAAAACCCGTGTAAGTATCTACTGCTGTAAAAAGATTTAGAGCGGGTGGGAATGTTTCTCCGTACGTGTAACGTAACAGCTGTGTGAGCTTTGGCACCACATCACGGCCGCGGCAGCATGTTTTGGCACGTACGCGGTTGCTGTGGGATCGTTTCGTTGATGCAAGTCTGCATAGGTCGTGTATGAGTGCTGAGGAAACCTGTCTCTCGTAACCTAGAGGGCGGTGACGGGGCTTTCTCTAGCCACACCGTCCTTTACAGCAAGAACGTAGCGCCGGGGTGGAAGAATGAGTTTCCACTACGATTGTTCCTGCCGGGCGACAACTGGGGGGGGGGGTGCGATACTGTGCTGCTGCTGGCTCCTGAAACAACGGCGTTGTGTGAGAATACCCTAACAACAAACGTGACTTTTCGCAGCTTTAGCTGGGTGTGACGTTGGGGTGTGCATGAAAAAATGGGGTGTCTTGGACGTGTGTTGGCCCGGCAAACTCGCGCACCCTGTTTCCCCTGCTCCCGTGGAAAACGCTCCCCACTGCGTACAAAAGCAACAGTGGCAGTTGATTGCACCTACGAAGGAGGGAAAGGGAGAAGAAAAGCAGAAGAGCGACTCGATTTTCGATTGGTTCGGACGGGGACGGAGAGTAGTAGTTGGCTCGGGGTGTGCACATCAAAACTCCGCAAGCTCGGAAACGAGATGGGAAACTGATCACACCGCCAGGCGTTCGCCTCCTCACTGTTACTGCAAATCGCTCACAATTTCACCTGACATTAAAAGCACCGCACAACCATGTTCCGTCCCCTTTGATGCATTTTTTCTATTTATACACCGTCGTATTTCTAATAAAACTAACATATGTTTTTCATGCATCTTGGCCTTCGGGAGCAGGACGGAGTTTACGTCGAGAACGTCACGGAGGAGAAGGTGCAAAGCGAGGCCGCCGTGCTGGGTCTGCTGGCTAGGGGCTCCACCGTACGGAGCAAAGGAGAGACCCAGGTAACCGACGATCGCTTACCATGCCACCCTCTCGCCCGAGTTTTTTTTTTCCAAATGAGAGATAGATCACTTTGCTTGGTGGAATACCATGTTTTTAGATCTACAGATATGTGTGTCTGTCCCTTTTCGTTGTCCTGACGGGTATGCACGATGCTTGTGTGCTGGCTCTGAGTTTTCTGTTCCGAAACCTCGTGCTCCTGGTGGAAATGTATGCCCAAGTCTAAAACAAAAAGCCGCGTTGTTGCTGCTCTCTTCGTTTCGTAATACCGGAACCCCCCCTACTGGCCCCCTCATCGTGCGATCGAGCATAGATGAACGCTGCGTCCAGCCGTTCCCACGCGGTCCTGACACTCTCCATCATCCAATCCGTGCTCAACGACGACGACGACGGGGGCGGCGGCGGCGGCGGCGGAGAAGAAGCGGCGGCAGACTTAGGAACCATTCGCTCCAAGATTAGTCTCGTGGATTTGGCCGGGTCGGAGAGGGCCAAGTCCACCGGGGCGGCCGGCCAAAGACTCAAGGTTAGTCGCGAATTGTTCCCCGGTACACCGGTGCCGGCTACGGTGTAAGAGGAGGGATGGACCAACTCCTGGTATACCGGCAGTGCCGGCTGCGAAGGATGAGAGGGTTGGAAAACCGATATACGTTGTTCTCTATGTCTGGCTGTGTATGATTTGTCTCATGGCCGTGACAAAAGCGATTTTTGACTCTCTTCGGTCTCTCATGTCGATTATTATATTTCGTAGCCGGCAATGCTGTGTGTAGGTCGTCCGCCAATCAGATGTCAGCGTGGCCAGGAGGGGGCTCGTTTCAAGGAGGTCATCTCGTTGCCTCTGCTTCCTTGGTGCTGTAGCAAGCACCCAAACGAAAACTCAACAAAAGCGGGTCTGTTGAGAGCTCCCCGTCACAGGTCTCTTGCTCTCCGAGCGCTTCGGTAGAGTGTATCGAACCGGTAGTAGTTGAGGGCGGACACGAAACACGACGAGACCAAGCAAGCGTAGGCGAAGGTCATTCTATTGTCGGGCCTTTGTCGCATGGCAACATGTTTCGCGATGCGTTGCTGCCGAACACCCAATGCTGAATCACCCCCCCCCCAAATCATGAATAGTGGTCGAGTAGATCATATTGTGCGGGGTCGAGAACCCTGACTCCGCGCAAAGGGGATAATCGCACCACGTTGTGTTAAATTGGTCGAGCACCCTCGAGGCAGTTACACAGTGTTTACAACCGTCTCTGGAAGTGAAAGCACCAGAAAGTAAATTAAGTCATACGCAGCTGTCATCCGTACGCAAGGAAGTAAGCACAAGATGCCGAACACGCTTAGCAGGATGCAGCGCACCCTTCATGCGACTCGCCGAATACCTCACGGCGCTTCGCGCTTGGTGATGTGAGAGCCTGGTCCGTTGAGAACCCGGCGTGCTCCGTCCCGGCTTTACAGGGATGCGAGGTCAATGGTCTAACGACTACGGCATGCACGACTCTGAGTACACCCCGCCCCCCCCCCAAATCTGAGGGGCGTGTTGGCCTGGTAGGAACCGGTCGCTCTCGTCTAGCGAGGACTTTTTGTATCGACGCCTTTATGCGTACTTGCAGCAGCAACATGCGAGCACACCTGGTTCCGCCTCAGACCACCGATAGGACTGGTTGTAGTGCACGGCCGAGCCCGACAGCCATCAACCAAGCACGACCCCGGCACCCCTTGCCTAGCCGCTTAAAAGCAATATTGTTTCTCATTTCCCCCGTAACCGCCCCCCCTCTTTCCACTGTGTGTGCAAATAATGCGTGTGAGCAGGAAGGCGCTCAGATCAACAAGAGCCTCAGTGCTCTAGGAAACGTGATCAAGGCGCTCACTTCATCGGGGGGTACCACGCACGTGCCGTACAGAGACAGCAAGCTCACGAGGTTACTCCAGGTGCGGTATCGACGTCTCTCAAGCGTTTACCTTTGTGTGTCTCTCTCCGCCATGAGAATAGGTTCCGAAGGCGAAGGTTGTGGTCGTGTTCCTGTCCACGGAGTAGCGCCGTCATCCCGAGTGGTATAAACTCCTTCGTTTTATTGCGGAGGAACAAAATTCTTCATGTAAAGAGCCAAGATTCCCGCTGCAGGCACCAACATACCTCAAACACGAACGCCCCCTCCCCCCCCTCACTTTCTTCGAAAAATTTACACACACACACACTGCAGTCTTTTTCTGTTCTAAATGCGACAACTGTCTTTATTGTATTTTTCGAAGAAAGTGA